GGTATTCAATTTCATCAACGTACCTTGACCTTTCCTTTAACTTTGACCTCACTTTTCTTAAATTAGTGTTTAGCTCAGTTTTAAAGAAACCATTCAAGATAGTGTAATCAAACTTCATATGCTGATACATACTGAATCAACATTTTTTTACCTTGACCTTTCCTTTGACCTTGACCGTACTTATCTTAAATAAGTGTTTAGCTCAGTTTTAAAGAAACCATTCAGGATAGCGTAATCAAACTTCATTTGCTGATACATACTAATGAGAGCTATTCAACTGCATCAACATTTTTTGATCTTGATTTTTCCTTTGACCTTCACCTCACTTTTTCTAAATTAGTGTCAAACTTCATATTCTGATACAGACTGATGTAAGGTATTTGACTGTATCAACATTTTTGACCTTGACATTTCATTTAACCTTGACTTCATTTTTCTTGAAATGGTGATTAGCTCAGTGTTAATTAAACGGTTTCCATTCAAAATATTTTTATCAAGCTTATTTTGCTTATGCGTATTAGTGAGAACTATTCAACTGCATCAAAAATGTATGACCTTGAACTTTCCTGTGACCTGGACCTCACTTTTCTTAAATTTGCATTTTGCTTAGTTTTAAAGAAACCATTAAATATAATTTTATGTGAGCTTATGCACTTAACAGAATTTGGTGGGAATTTATCATCTATATCCAACTTTTTCGATTTCAATGTTAAAGAAACTATTTTAAGATATTCTCATCAAATTTCATACACTAAAAATATTTTTATGTTGCATTACTAATATGCCCACATGGTGCAGTGGTTAAAGCTCTAGAGTTGCGGAGTAAGGAGTTGATCCTTATGTCGCTGGTTCGAATCCCACTGTGGGACGTGGAGACTGTATAAACCGAGGTCCCATGTCACAGTAGGTGCTGGCATAAAAAGATCCCTCACTGCTTAATGGCCCTTCGTGCCGAGTATAGGTCAAAATTTGCAGCTCTCCACCGGCAAGTGGTGGCATCTCCATATGAGTGAAAAATTCTCGAGAGGGATGTTAAACAATAAACAAGCAAATAAAAATTAATATACCCTCAGCGGGGCATTCATGTCCTATGGACATATTTCTAGTTTTGCCCTTTTTTACATTTGTACATGGATATACTTTTTATTTTTGCTCTGTAAACAACAACAACAAAAACATTATACCATATAATATGCACAAAATTATATGCTAGGAATGTATTGTGAAAGATGCATTTCAGCTGACAAATGTAGCATCTTTAAGCCAGCTTTTTAAAAAATTTTCTGAATGACTTTCAGGTACTTCTTTTATATTTGCAACTCATTTATAGGGATGTATTAGTATGGTAGCCTGTCTGCCAACACCTTGTAGATGAGATTCTAGCACATATTGTGTGAAATGGTTCTCTTAATTGACATGAGAAGGTCACTATTTTTTATCAAGATAAAAATTACTTGTATGTCTTGTAATAACATTATTTAATATATCCCTTTCATAGCACACGTTCGTTTCAAAGAGAAGAAAACATTTATAATTTTTCAAGGTCAAAAATCTCATGGATGAAATGCAAACTGTACTATTTGAAATAGGTGGTATAGGTATTTCAGAGTCTGTATTACAGCTTGCCAGTTTATTGTTGGAGGGAATATTCTCATCAAATAAACTATGTAAAGATTTGCTTTTTAATGCAAAGTATTTTTATAAGTAATAACTTCATTTCAACTTACAATGAACAGTTAATCAGTGCATCTCACTTTGTATCTAATGCATTTTTAGAACACAAATTTGTGGTTTAAAACATGTTGTAATAGTTTAATAATGCTATTCATTTTTTTTTAATTGACAAGAAATGAAAATGTAATGATTATTTCAAAATAGTGTTTTATTCCTCTTGTGTATATTTATAGATATGTAAAAGATTGTTATTTTTATTGATGTTATTTTTGTGTACAAAATACTAGTTATTTATTACTTTATACAAAACTAATGTTGTGAAGATTGATAATAATAGAAGTCCTTATGCATGTATTGAACAGTATACAAATGTCACCAATGTAATACACATTTACAAATAAAATGAAATTTTACATGACTTGCACATATTTGCATTATTTGTTACAGTTATAACAAATCTAATTCATTGTATTTATTGTTTCCATTTTTTATTGTCTATTCAAACATGGAAAAATTATATGTGTAATGATGTTAAAGACACAAGAATATGAATTAAAATAAGACTGTATGAACTACCTTTAGATTTATGAATTCAGTAGACAGTGACTGTGACAAATGTGTATTTAGGATCTATAGAGATCTTAGACATGAGAAGAAAAGGGGTTGTTTTACAAACTTTTTTTTGCATGGGGAAATATTGACATTTTTATACAACAACAAATGAAGTTACTGGAATTTTGAAGTCTACGTGTCTTCTGTGAGTAGACATCTTTTGAAACAAAGGTAGCTTGGGGCCAGAAATATTCTAGACCCAGTAGTAATGGTCTTTTGCACAAGGTCATAGTCACTGTATATCAAAGTATTAAATACTTACCAATAATTGTTTGTAACCTCAGAGTATGATCCTAACACAGGTTAATACAGGTCAAGGCCATAGGGTTTAGAAATGTAATAAATATTCAGATAAACACATAATTCTGTTTGTTTATTGTTATACATCCTTTAAGAATTTTTCACTAGTATTGAGACACCACAACTTGCTGGTTGAGGGCTGCAAATATAGACCTGTACTTTTGAGCAGTGAGAGGTCTTTTCTTGTCCCAGCATATACTGCAACAAGGGAATTTGGTTTCATTGGAAGAACCGGTTTCCATGTCCTTCAGTGGGATTTGTACCTATGACTTAAGGAACAAGTCCTTACCCCACTACTCTAGAGCAAATGCTTTGACCACTGCGCCAAGCGGGCAATCACATTATTGTTATACTAGATGTAAATCAAGGCGAAGGGATAATTGTGACATGGGGATGTATAACAACCCTGCATCAAGTTCAATTTTTGACCACTATAAAATAACTTCCAAAGATTATATTATCCTAGGGTTCATTATGCTCAGAGTATATGACATAAATTGGATATATAAAATTCTAAAATACAATTTTTTTTTTAGAAAAGTACAAGGTTATAGTTTCAAGAGGTCATATCTAGCATGTACAGGTGATTGTGGCTTAGATGATGATTCTATACCATAAGTTATCATGTGACTACGACGTTTTAAATCAATGTGTTTCTTTGGTGGTGGATGAAATATTTTCTTAACATAACAATTACTATCGGTCATTTACTATATTTCCATAAGATTCAGGACATGAAAATTTGTCTACGAATAGACATCACCCTATTAGTTCCTTCTAGTTGAAATAAGGAATCACCATACTGGGTTTTAAAGTGCCTAATATTTTACTTAAGATAAATGCAAATTGACCAATAAATACTGGTATGAGAAGTACATTTATGCATGTGTAGTTTTTTATTTAAATAATTAGAAAAAAGAAAATGGTCTACATAATCACGTATATATATATATTCTGGTCTCCTTTATGCATTATATATACTTGGTCTACTTTAACCCTTCGGGATCCTCATAAAATATATACATGTCTACCTTAAACCTCCAATGTATTTACAAAATATTAAGGAGACCAGAAATGTCGTATATTTTTCAGGAAGCAACATTTAGGGCTGAGGGGGTAAAATTTTCATTATTGAAGCCTATTAGAATAAATTTGGGTGAAAGTGTGAATCAGAATGTCTCAAATAAAAGAAATGAAAAATGTCTACTTAATGCCTCAAAATAAGTGCGGTCTACTTTATGCCAAAGTCCACCTTATATATATATATATATATATATATATATATATATATATATATATATATATATATATATATATATATATATATATATAATTTTGGATTATTGGCTGTGCTTTCTTTGAATATAAATCTTATAAGAATGGGCTATTTTGCAAACTTTTTGGGGGGAGGGGATAATGACCTCATTCATGACGTCATACATCTTGAAATTCTAAGACTATAGAGACAACATTACTCCACGTTTTCAAAGAATAAACATGTATCCTGGTAGTTTTCATAGGTTCTTTTGGTGAACCTCATTCTTAACATATGCATCCCTTTACTACTCTGTACACATTTGAAAGTCTGCATGATTTATCAATTTCTTGCCCAAAATTCTAATATTTTCAACACTCAAATCCGATGAATAAAATGCTATCTCTTGACACGCTCTCTTTTTAAGAGATCCTCTATACACCAAATGAAAATATTTTTTTCTGAACATTGGGAAATAAATTATATTGTATAAAGCTGTAAATATTGAGCTTATCCATGTGATTTGGGACGCGTGGGATTTACTCCCAGGCAAAACGTTAAAAAAAAACATTGGAGTATTGAGGAGCAGAAATCAATGTTAATTTATTAAATTCAGTTGGGAAAATACATGTACATGGAAGTAAAGTTTTCTGTGGATTTATTTTCGTCTTTTAAAAGTTAAGAAAGCTTGAATTTATTACATATAGGGTGATTTTCTGTAGATTATTCAAATAGGGTGATTTTCTGTAGATTTTTCAATTTCAACTTATTCTAATTTAGACCAAAAGACGGATTACTCAAATGATCTGGGTCCCATTTTATAACAGAACTTTTTTTTACTACAGTGTTTATACAAATTATCATTATTTCAGAAGCATTTAATTAAGGTTCATATAACCCCTCTGTTCACTCATATAAAATGTTGCTTTAATGCTTATATGATTTTCCAAAAGATATGTATTTTATAAGCAAAGTGCACACAATTTTAGCATAGCTTGTTGGGCAAAATTGGACAAAAAAAGAAGACATTTTAACTTGACAACAAGGAATAACAGAATTCACCCCATTATTAGTGTTATCTCTCTTATCAGAGTATCAGTAAACCTTAATGAGAGAAGAGATCTCATATTAAAGGCATTCTTTATTAATTAAAATTGACTCATAATTTAAAAATGCCAAAAACACTCGACCGTGGGTTATTATAGATAATCTTTGCATTGCTGACTGCAACATGAATACTATCTCCAGTCTTCATTGGGATCAAAATTGGTCCCACTTGACTTGAGGTGTAACTGAATCGTCGCAGCGTGAACTTGTTCAGATGCACGAGTTCTTTTCCATTTTTAAAGAGTGAAAGCATTGCTGACTTTGTTCGGTCCAGAGTGCTCTCCCCTGTGTAACTGTCAAATTGTATATAACTGTAGACTACATAAATTCCATCACTTGGGACAATTAGTTTGCCATACTCCATCATGTCTTCGTATTTTATGCCCCCGTTTATGTAGGATGATCCATTCACTTGGGACCAGTGCAATCCTGAAAATAAAAAGATTGATGAAAGTTAAAAGTCTGGTTTGTCCCTGTGACCCAACCATTAATTGGAGCATACACATTCCAGTAAAAATGACTAACGTACTTGATAGTGTCCGAGAGTACTATCAATTATTGAAAAGATGGTTCATGCACACGACTGAACTTCTCTACATCAGCGCTCATATCTTTGAACCAATGCCTCACAAAAGGGTGACACCCCCCCCCCTTTCCAAACAAACACGCACTAAACACTTTTTAAAAAAGATAGTGAAACTTGATAAATCAAACCTGACTCGTCTTTGTGATATCTATCTGGGTTGATATACAGGAGTGCCCCAATAGAACTGTTATCACCTGCTGAAATTCCAAATGAAAATTGAATTCTTAAATTCAACGTCTATATTCTTACAGAAACTGATTGAAGTCACTATTCTAATATGACTCTCTTTATTCACGATTCAGAACAAGATATGAAATGAAATCACGAACTTCAAAAATAGTTCATAAAAGTTTGGATTTTGGTAATTTTGCAATAGTGTGTACGTTATACTTTTAATTAAATTTCTACAATAGATTACATATTTAATTGTTACCTTTTGATCGACATGCCTGTAACAGATGTCCCGTGTTTGGTACCTTAAAATTAAAGATTAAATCACATCAATGGTCCAATTAACTTTAAATACTTCGTGTTCCTTATCAAGTTCAAGTTCAATTTATTCACTCAAACCAATTAATGGTATATGAGGTTCTATGTACAATATATACAAAAACAATATACAAGATACACGTGAAATCGCGGAAATACATTCAAATTATAAAGTAACAAAAAATAGAAATAATAATAATAATAATAATTATGGAGGACAGACTTGTTCATATACCCTATCTCTGTAGTTGCAGTTTGATTAATACCTTGGAGTCAGCAGTTGACAACAATTCTGAGAATTTTGTAGAAATTTGGTCTATTACAATATTTACTAGGTAGATACCTTTTTTCTGCATTCTGAGAAAAATTGACATTCTAAAATATAGTGATACTCATCTGCTATTTGTCCATTATTACAGATATTACAAAGTCTATCATTTTTGGGAATTCCAAACCATCTCCCAGTCTCAACTGGGAGACGATGATTTGCTGTTCTTAATTTAATTAGAATTGTTCTAAATTTTTTAGGTAGTAAGTCTAAATATTTTTCAAATCCAAATTCTGTTTTGAAGATACTATACATATGACCTTTAGATGAATCGCGCATATCACTTTGCCATTTCTGTATGTACTGATCTTTAAGACGTTGTTCAACTATAATGTTTAGCCATTTTATATTTAAAAAGGCCTGTTCATTCCATATATTTGAGAAGCCACAAGTATCAAGTATATTCTTAATACATAAAATCCAAGGGTTCTTATGACTTCCTGAACAAAACTGTTCAAATAAATTCTTATATTTAACATAAACAATCTTATTTTCAGGGCTTACCAGTAATTTTGCCCAATGGGATATCATTCTTATCTACACCGTTATATACAAAGGGAATCGACCCGTTTCGCCATATACCATATATATAACTAGAAGTACTACTTTTCAGATTAAAAATATATTTCAAAAATTTGAGATGAACGCGTTCAATTATTTCAATGTTCTCAAAACCCCATATCTCACATTCATACAAAAGTACTGGTGTGACCACTTTATCGAACAAATCAAGCTGGCAATCTACTCGTGAATTAAATTGTCTAATTTTTCGTATAACACCATACATGGCTTTTTGAGCTTGCTCACATAAATGCTTTTTAGCCTTACAAAATAGTATACCTAGGTATTTAAATTCGTTCACAATTTCAATAACAGAATTATTGTAGTAGAATACATTTTTTACAGATGGACCTTTCGAAAAAATCATAATTTTTGTTTTGTCTATATTGACATTCAGTTTCCATTGTAAACAATACGAATGAAACTCATTAAGAGCGTGTTGCAAACCCTCAGCAGACTCAGACATCATAACTGTATCGTCAGCATAGAACAAAATAAATAATTTAAAATACAGCCAAAATTGGTTTTCTACAGTGTTTGAACTGCTTGCATTTAAGGATAGCCCATGCACATTTTTACTAGTGAGAAATTCTTCTAAATCATTAATATACATAGAAAACAAGAGAGGCGATAAATTTTCTCCTTGGCGTACACCAATGTTACAGTTGTAAAATTCAGATGAAAAACCATTCATAGTCACAAGGGACTTAACTCCATTATACATACACATTTATTTGACATATTTGGACCATTTAAAATTTTCCAGTAGTCTCGAGTATTTGTAGAGCGTAGTGATTTCAAGTTTTTTGTCATGCCTTTTCTATAATCTTTTATACATGAATCCAGTATCTTTTTATAGCTTTTGCTTTCTAATTGAAGATTAGCTTTATTTTCTAAACAAGAATTTTTACTATTTAATCGCTTTGCTAAATGATATCGTCAGCATAGAACAAAATAAATAATTTAAAATACAGCCAAAATTGGTTTTCTACAGTGTTTGAACTGCTTGCATTTAAGGATAGCCCATGCACATTTTTACTAGTGAGAAATTCTTCTAAATCATTAATATACATAGAAAACAAGAGAGGCGATAAATTTTCTCCTTGGCGTACACCAATGTTACAGTTGTAAAATTCAGATGAAAAAACCATTCATAGTCACATGGGACTTAACTCCATTATACATATTTTTTATAAATGTAAAACATTTACCACTAATGCCATTATTTAACAATTTGTACCAAAGCCCATTTCTCCACACCGTGTCGAATGCCTGTTTAAAGTCAACAAAAGCACAGAAAAGTTTCTTTTTGAAAGACATAACCATGTTTGCAAGAAAATGTAAAGTCAGTATATTATCTAAGGTCGAATACCCTTTCCTGAAGCCAGTTTGACTTTCACTTATAAGGTTTAAATTCTCTACATAGCATTCCAAACGTTTACATAAAATGGAGGTAAAAAGCTTACCAAGACAACTTAAAAGTGTTATTGGACGATAATTTTCAGGATTTGTTGGGTCTCCATAATTTATTTTTGAAAATCGGTTTGACAGTACCTGTGAGCCATTCGTCTGGAATGACTCCACTATCAAAAATCAAATTAAACATTTTTTTGTATACAGACAAAAATATAGATACTGTTGATGAAATATGTTCGTTTAACAATTGATCGTAGCCTGCGGCCTTATTATTTTTCATTTTTTTTACTGCAAATAAAATTTCTTCCTCACTAATCTCAAAGTTCAAAAAATCATCACGTTCATGGCTGTCTGTTGAGAACCTTAAAGTGTCACCATCTTCTATGTCATTATCATAACCTTCATTGATGCCCTTAAGAAAATCAAACATAGCATTAATATCAACAGCACATTTATTTGACATATTTGGACCATTTAAAATTTTCCAGTAATCTCGAGTATTTGTAGAGCGTAGTGATTTCAAGTTTTTTGTCATGCCTTTTCTATAATCTTTTATACATGAATCCAGTATCTTTTTATAGCTTTTGCTTTCTAATTGAAGATTAGCTTTATTTTCTAAACAAGAATTTTTACTATTTAATCCCTTTGCTAAATGATATTTCTTTCTAGCCGTTTTGTACTCTTTATTGAACCAGGGTTTATCGCATTTGTTTTTACAATTATTTTTCTTAAAATTTCGACTGAACCCAAATGTTGATTTAGCTGTGTTTAAAAATATATCACATAGCTTATTAGTAACATCATTTATAGTGTCTTTACTAATGTTGCTTGTTTCCGTACGACTGGTCAAAATATCTAACTCATTTTCTATGTCCTTGACCTTAGTTATATTCACATTCTCTTAAAAATGTTTTGCTTGCTCTGGTGACCATAGTTTTACACGTGACTGATTTTCAACAATACCTTCACACCTGTGTTCTGTAAAAAAGGCTGGTAAGATAGAAAATGAAACAGGATTATGTACGTCCGAATACAAGTTACAGAAGTCAGTGATATCAAAATCTTGAATAATTTCAAACATAGGTGCTGTGGCAACCACAACCACATCAAAGATTGGGTCTAAGGCTTACATAATACATATGTGAATTAATCAAGTATTTCATTTGAGGTTGACTTGAAATATTTTCTGTTAATTTAAACAAAATTATTATGATGCTATACATGGTTGGAATATTTTCATTTAGCAGGTTTTGCAGCTTGTGTTCAACTGTATAAACTCGAAATTTTAAATGCTCTATATATACATGTACTTTGTGCAGCCCAGGTGTCGTAAATCATGCGTATAATATTTGTAACCAAGCCCGTCTGCAAGAACAATTTTGAACAAGCTAAGTCTGCTTCCTTTTAAAGATGCGCTCGTCCGTACATTAAAATCATCTATCTACATTTACAAGTAAAACGCTGTCGTTTACTAATTTTTATTTGAAAATTGAAATCAAACTACACGTCGTGTACTTATTCTAATTTTCAAATATAAATTAGAAAACGACAACGTCTATCTAAAATACAGCAAAAAACCATTCATTCTTTTGAATTTTATACAAACCTGAAGTCGGACGTTGGTAGTGATTCTCTTACAACATACAGTGGAGTTGTTCCCAATTTGATATTTCATTGTGTCAACATCCTCGGCTTTCATCATGGGGGAACAAGGTGAACACGAAAAGAACACGTCCTCCTGTGTTGCCGAAAGTTCGCTTCCCGGGGGGTCATTCCTCTTGTCACAACCCCTAACTATCTGAAAGGCGACCAAGAAAGTTATTGCTCCGAGGAAGAACACGTTTGCGAAGGCAGAGATGACAAATAATTTTTTGCTGCATTTATTTTCATTTTTTGATTCATCTTCACCACTCTGTGCTTTATGGTATTCATCCATCACGTCGAAGACAACTTGTAAAATTAAATCGGTGTAGAGGACTTTAATAGTTGTTTATTTGATGCATGCAGGTATCGATTACGCAGACACCTGCATGCACCGAATAATCAACATTAAAAAAATGACTTCTTTTGTTTCGAAAAAGCCAATGCAGAATAATAATGCAAATGCCATGATGTGATCAATAATTTGAGCGGTGCTTGGCAGCCATTTGTTTTATAAATTGATAATAAATTCAGCTTTGTCCAATTTATTGTGAATTTTGTCCACTTTATTTTGAATTCTTATTTAAAATGAAATAAAGTATATTATATTCTATTCTATGTAGGTACAGTAGAACTAGATATGGACATGTATATCGTATGATAATGGACCTCAGAGCCCCACCCCCCCCCCCCTCTGATTTTTTTAACGCCATCTGGAATGTCATCATTTGTGTCAGGGACAGAAATAGCAACTTTTCATGCACTTTCCTCTCGGTGTTGCACAATATACGGATAATGCTAGCTGTACATAATACCGTTTAGCGGGAATTTTTAGCGGGGTGCTAACTTTGGCTTATTTTAGCGGTTTTGAAGTAGCCCGCTAAATTTGCACCCTTGCGTATAAGTACAGAATGCAAGAAAAATAATTTGATCAGTCTGTTGTTAAAAAATAATATATCTTTCATCTGGTGTTGGTTTTTATTCAAACTTTTCCTAAATGGGTATTCAAACGTATATTGATCGTACTTGAAACTTATCTAGAAAATGAGCTTCATCTGTTGTATTCTGTAAAGAATCTGGGGGGATAAGACGAGCCAGGTGCCCATGCCCATTTTTCGGCTATGCAAGAACATTTATTGGAAAAAATCTCTCAATTGTTCGAATTTACTTAAGCATTTTAATGTTTACCGTAGTTTTCAAAATGATATTTATATTCTAAACAAGCTAAACAGTTGACTTTCATTTACTGTCACAAATGTCTAACATGGGTAAGGACTTCTATTAATTAATCTGCATATTGAGTTTTTACACTTATTGTGGAGATATTATAAAAATGTTAACATCGTATATAATGATAATGGTGATCTAGAAGCGCTTTTATTTAAAATAAATAAAACGGGAATAAAAGTATTCAAATATCTATTATAATTTTTATCCGGCATTTTAAATAATTTACTGTAAATAAGTTCATTACTACATGTATATATTTTATTTCCAGTGAAAAATATGTTATTCCTATAGACATTTTTTATAAAGTAAAACAAAATTAAAACCAAAAAATCAAAAAAAAAAAAAAAAAAAAAAAAAAAAAAAAAAAAAAAAAATCAGAGCATGACTCGAACACTTTCCTCAATAAACGTCCCTTTAAAGAGCTCATCGCTACCCACTAGACCACGGAGTCACACTAACATTTCCAATTAAATAGCATACAGTTCTCTATATTTAGCAAGCGTTTTTGGACTTAGAATTTTTTAAGACCACGGTGAAAATTTAAGTAAGTTAACTTAATTTTTTATGTAGAGTGGGTCTTCATACCAAATTTTTGCAAGTGTAAAAAGCAACATCTTTCCATTGCCTTTCATTAATCGTTCTCAAAAAAATGGTACGATGACCCACTCTATTTAAAAAATGTAGTTATATCATCCAATTTATGTCAGTTTCTTTGAAAATTGAGCGTGATGCTATTTTGTTGTGTTAATCAGAATCATTTTCGCTGTTACAGTATTCAGGTTTTGTCAAATTTATATGCAAATGGTAATAAGCATTACATTAATTCAACAAAAAGTGAAATTTTTGTAAAATGAATTTATTGATTTTTTATCGATCGTTATGTAGGCATATGGCTCGGCTTATCCCCCCAGTTTCTTTGCAGAAGGCATGAAATCTTTTCCGTATTCATTTTCTATTTTCACACATTCATTCCATATACGTCTCTTCGGTCTGCATAATCACGTATTTAATGGAGCAATCAAGTATGATCAGAGTGGGTATCCATTATGCAATACTAGAGGCCCCTGACTATCTTTTCTTTCCAGTCCTGCACAAATGACACCGTTTTCAAATACACGAATATCGTGTTCTCCAAAGCCACTTGGTACACATCAACTCAGTTTTTATACAGGGGTGCAAGTGACCTTGATTCATGAAACAACACTCTTATGTTCACCTAACAAACTCCCAAATCCCCCCCCCCCCCCCGAAAATAAAATGTTTCCTAAAATCAGCAATAATCGAGGAGAGCAGACATGGTCTCTTATTTTGAGTTCAATTTTATTTATTTATTCTTATATGGAAGTAGTGTAAAAACCAGAGTTCTGGCGCAGATACCTTATAATGGGCTCCTCACGGCTCCTTTGAGGAGCCGATGACGTCATAAATAACCATTGAAACAAACACACCCCCTTAACTCATGAATGATTTTAAACAAACCATCATTGAAAAAAATCAATAACAAAAGATATTATTGATCTTAATTAAAACAATGCAATTAGAGAGTATCAAAGAATATAACAAAGAGAATGGATTAAACAGATTTTTAATCAATAGATTATTAAAATGACTGTTTCATTAAGAATCGGAAATTCCACAACGTCATGGAATAAATTACAGTCATTGTTGAAGGAAACAAAAGAGACAATCTCGTTCAGATGAGACCCCTAAAATCGATTTAAAGGGATCACACGGGTCTTTTGTTGGTCCCTATTGGGGTTTTTCCATGACTCAACGCATGATCTTCATCGTACTTTCAATAATAAGGACATTAAATGCATTATTGGTTTCGAATGAGGATCGTACTGAATGAAGCATTTTAATAGAGCATCAGTCGACCGGAAAATTACAGGTAGAAACATGTCTCAACGAATATAGGCATTTAAATTCTACCGTGATTTTTGTTTACCTGTAATGCCTTCAATCAAGAAAAGATTGAAAGAAGTACACAATGGGGCAATAAAAAAGACATTTAAAAAGTAAACCAGTCGACCAAAACATTACAGGTAGGAACATGTTTTAAAGCACGGTGTTTTTTAAATGTCTAATACATTCACCTCTTTGATAAACTCAGGGAAAAACTGCGATACATAATATTCATCTACGCCTTCATTAATAATCTATAAACACATTGTTATTAATAATTTCTGTCAGATCCTAATATGTTGCACTTAACTACGAAACGAGTATGAAATTGTCAAGTAGATAGTTCTACTTTTCATCATTAAGACTGTTTTCTATATTAGCGTTTTGGTGAAATAGCAGTTTATAATGAAATATAACAGGGAAAATAGTTTGGAAGGACTGAATATTCGCAAGATACAATATTTTTCATCATAGCTGAGATATAGGGCTTGTTCCAGAGCAATCTATTTATAAACCCTTTGGAATTTCCAAATGGAAAAATACTCATTCCAATGGAAAATTACTCAAATGATGACGGTTGAAATGATGTCATGATAACGTAACCAATCAGATTAATTGTTATTCCAGAATCACCATGGAGATCTACATACAGTATAAAATGAAGTGATCTTACGCTTTCAAATTAATTTCATTACAACTGCCCAAAGAAAACACTTAGGAGAATACATTCCTTTTTGAAATCACTGACGGGGAATGTACATAGTGCTTTTGATTTCTTTAAGGGGAAATAGCATACCTTCTTAAGGATTTCATAAGGTAAGAGCTTTTTCTTGGACCATTGTTTATTTCAAATGTTATCAAACAGAACTATTTTAATTCTTGTTCTGTACATATTATTATTATGTTAAGGAAGAGCAGCCAGTGTTGATTTCCTTGTTTAACACTTCATCCCTATTATTTTGGTTTTCCAACTGAGTAGTCAATTTTACTACGAGTTTTTGTCATACTTCAGACCCCAATTAAAGGATTCAGTCTCGTTTTACACAAGAATGACTTTGGATCACCTTAGAGAAATGCTCATGGTCTTGTTCGTTTGTGATAAAATAAAAGAAGAAAACCCTCAATATTTTCAAATATATTGATATATATTTTTTAAAGTTTTAAACGAAATGATGTATGACAACATATCGCCCTGCATGATATTTTTGTTCGTTTTATTTTGTATAGAAAATTATTACAAATCTCTATAGTTAAGCAGTTTAAAGAGTTCACACATGGATGAGTTCACATATGTTTATACTTTAATTCACGTCAAAGCTTGTTCACGATACATTTGTGCACTGTTCCCCGAGAATGATAATAATGCACTTAAAAAGCATCTTTCACGATCGAGTAAACATTTTTACTATCTTTCTTTGCAACGAAATCGGAATCCGTCATATCGCGTCGATTTTATTTCATAAAATGACTGATAAAACATTTTTGGGTGGTTATTACAGGAAACCATGGCTGCTGAAAAAGTTCAATGTGAAGACTGTGGAAAGATATTCACTCGTAGGTCCAATTTGCTGCGGCATCAGAGAACCACACACGTATTAGAGTCCTTTCGTTGCCAGATATGCCCCAAGCGATTCAGCAGGAGGGATAACTTTGAACGCCATATAAGACAGCATCAAGGAAAAACACAATCACATGATATTAGTACGTCTCGTGTCAGATCCTTAAATACAGGAAGCATCAATGCCAATGAAGGAATATCAAACGCTAATATCCAAAATCAAGTGGGAAGCGGTGACTCGTTAAATACCGATAACCTTCAAGGTAAAGTAGCTTAGATTTGCTTTAAGATTTGGTGTATCAAAATGTTTTCACTCATGACTTGACAATTAGAGCGGCATCTCAATGAAAGAAGAAAAACTTTTTTTCACAGATCCTCAAAATGGTGATACAGACGATGCTAAAGACGACTGTATCACAGAGGAAGAAGCCATTAAGGGAAATTTGAAGAAAATATTCTTGGAAGCTATAGACAAGAGCAAATACGACCCCATGACCTTTTTGAAGACCAAAGAGGAGACAATACGATCTCTTCTGCAAAAAGAACTTGCTCAAAGAAAAAGGATGAAATTTTACCTCACTTTGCAAGTTCGTTTCACGAAGACCCGAGGGAATCAAGAGGAGCACGCCGAACCCCATTTCCATGGACGCTGTCATATTGTGCTTAAAAAAGAAGACATTGAACAGGCCCTACGAGATAGCATTATGAAAATTATTAACTCTTTCTTAGAATACCAAAGGGAAGGAAGTAATTGGGCATTGGATGAAGTCATCGGGCTCAATATTCACGTCGTCAACTACAGCCCAATAAAAGGTTCCAGCTACATTCCATTACCTGCCAAATTGGCTCATAAAAAAGCTATCGTTAACTTACAAAATACGGACCAAAAATGTTTCATGTGGTCGGTGTTATCTTCTCTTTACCCTGCAACAAAAGACCCTCAGCGGGTTATAAATTATGTACAACATGTGGATAGACTCGATTTTACAGACATTCCGTTCCCGGTTCGAATAGGAGACATTCCTAAATTTGAGAAAAAGAACAACATCTCTGTGAACGTGTTTGGGTATGAAAAAAGTGAACTTTATCCCCTTCATCTCACTAAAGAAAGAGGGTTAAAACATGTTGATCTCCTTGTAATTTCCAAAGGGTCAAAGCATCACTACTGTTGGATCAAAAATTTCAACAGATTGATGGGAGATCAAAACGGAGATAATAACCAATATTTCTATTGTCATTACTGTCTCCATGGTTTTACAAAAGAAAGTCTTCTCAAGAAACATGTCCCTAACTGCCAAGTACATGGTGCTCAGCGGACCGAAATGCCAACCGAGGAGGACAAATGGCTGAAGTATACAGATGTATCTAAGCAACTCAAAGTTCCGTTTGTGATCTATGCTGACTTTGAGAGTGTTCTACAGAGGCATTATGGATGTCAACGGTATCCCAGCAAGTCCTCTACCATCAAGTTGGCTCGTCACATACCGTCTGGTTTTACTTACAAAGTTGTAGGTATTTCACCAGACACCGTTGAAAATCACGTGACGTATCGTGGCCCTGATGCCGTTGACAAGTTTATTGAGCACATGGTCAATGTGGAAGAACGCCTCGTGAATGCTCTTAAGAACCCAAAGCCGATGCATTTGTCCGACGAAGAACTTGCTGCTTTCCGATCAGCCACTTATTGTTGCATTTGTAGCCAAGTTCTGGGGGATGACATTGTTCGTGATCACTGTCATGTGACGGGGAAATTCCGGGGTGCTGCTCATAGCAACTGTAATCTTAACTTAAGACTGAGAGAAAGAATCCCAGTATTCTTTCATAACCTCAAAGGTTATGATGCACATCACATTATGACCGCCATCGGCAAAATCAAGCATAAAAAGATTAGCTGCATCCCCCAGAATCACGAGAAGTACATTTCATTTTCGCTGGGGAAACTAGACTTCGTAGACACATTTCAATTTTTGTCAACTTCCCTTGACAAACTCTCTGCCAATCTCGGAAAAGAAGGCATCCATAAGTTTCCTCATCTACGAGCTTACGTTGCCTCCTCTCATCCTGGAAATGAGCAATCAAAACTTCAGTTGCTCAATAGAAAAGGAGTTTATCCGTATCGATACATGAACTCCTTTAAAAGATTTCAAGAGTCGACACTTCCACCCCAACGGGCTTTCTACAATGATCTAGACGGAAAGACCGTGTCTGATAAAGACTATTTACATGCACAGTGGGTTTGGGACGTCTTTCAAATTAAAAATTTAGGACAATACCACGATCTGTACATGGAGACAGACGTGCATCTTCTGGCAGACGTGTTTGAAAATTTCCGAAGTCTTTGTCTTGAAATGTACGGTCTCGATGCGGCTCATTTTTACACGGCCCCGGGATTAGCTTGGCAGGCCGCTCTGAAAATGACGGGTGTGGAGCTCGAGTTATTAACCGATCCAGACATGCATCTTTTCGTGGAAAAGGGGCTCAGAGGTGGTATTGCTATGATTTCTAAAAGGCACGCGAAAGCCAATAATCCCTATCTAAACGACTACGATCCGCATCAACCTTCAAACTATCTGATGTACTTAGATGCCAACAATCTCTACGGGTGGGCCATGAGTCAACATCTACCAACTCATGATTTTTGTTGGCTAACCTCTGATGAGAGAGAGACGATCGACGTCAATTCTGTCTCTATGGAGGGGGACACTGGCTATATCTTTGAAGTAGATCTGAAATATCCCTCGGAATTGCATGACTGCCACAGTGACTATCCGTTAGCTCCCGAATCATTTAAAATAAAACCAGAGATGCTTTCACCATATCAGAAAGACCTTTTGACTAGGCTTGGAATGAAAGAAGGCTCTGCTACCAAATTAGTCCCAAACCTTTTTGATAAAGAGAAATATGTCGTCCACTACAGAAATTTGCAACTCTACTTGGCTTTGGGAATGAGACTGACCAAAATTCATCGGGTACTGTCTTTCAAACAAAGTCCTTGGCTGAAAGCTTATATCGATTTCAATACAACAATGCGAAAAGGGGCCAAAAACGAGTTTGAGAAAGATTTTTTCAAACTCATGAATAACAGTGTTTTCGGGAAGACCATGGAAAATCTGCGGAAAAGGGTGGACATTCAACTCGTTCACCAGAAGAAAAGACTCTTAAAGCTTTCGGCTAAACCTGGGTTTAAATCCTTCAAGATCTTCAATGCAGATCTTGCTTCTGTAGAGCTTACCAAACAAAAATTGGTCCTCAATAGACCAAATTATGTGGGATTTTCCATTTTGGAACTTTCCAAAGTCTTGATGTACGATTTCCACTATAATTACATCAAGGAAAAGTATGGCGATCGCGCTACTCTCTGCTTTACAGACACAGACTCTTTGTGTTACGACATATCCACCGAGGATGTGTATGTAGACATGAAGGAGAGTCAGTATTGCTTTGATTTCAGTGATTACCCTGAAACACATTTTCTTCATAGCAATGTCAACAAAAAGGTCTTAGGTAAAATGAAGGATGAATGTCAAGGTCATACCATGCGAGAATCCGTAGGTCTAAAGCCCAAGATGTACAGTTTCATTTACGAAAAGAAAATAGTTCAAAACGAGAACGAATTTATTTGTCAAGAAGAAAAGAAAAGAGCCAAGGGCGTGAAAAAGGCAGTCGTGCAATCGAGCATACAACACGAAAACTATAAAAATTGTCTTTTAAAAAAAGAGTTTCAGATGGAGTCGATGGTGACGTTCAGATCATTTAACCACCAAATATACACTGTTGTTCTAAATAAAACCAGTCTGAGCCCCTTTGACGATAAGAGACACATTCTTAAGGACGGTATTCACACCTTAGCTCATGGTCATTATAAGACTTAAGATGCATTGTGCATTGTTATCATTATTATCATAGGTTTGTTATAAAACAGTTTACGTGTCCATTATAGAATGTAAGACATAAGATGTATTGGGCATTGTTATTATTATTATCATATGTTTGTTATTAAGCGATTTACGTGTCCTATGTATAATGCATAAAAAGTCTGTATTACATGTATTCAGTGTACACAGAATTGTGAATAAATGCATGAAAAACAAAAATATTTTGTTTTATTTGAACATGGTTCAGTAAAGGACTCCCGGGCGCACCGCCGCGGATCTGTAGGTTTCCGGATTCCAAGGATTCCGGTGACCTTGGATTCCGGAGTTTAAAGACGCCGGACACTAGGATTCCGGAGTCCATGTATTTCAGAGGAATTGGAGGTGTGCAACTTTTTCTATTAACGTTTTCACTTACAAATAATATGCAAATGGGATCACGTGGAAAACATCATAAAAATAAAAACATAAATCATTTTTGCCATAACGTAGGAAGACGTCAAAGGGTTAACATGTATCCTTGCAATCTATGCTCAAGTGTATACGTCTGGCCTGATAGTTTGAAAAGACATGTGAAATATAAACACGGTGTGCAGGAATCCGAAGTGTCACAACAACAACAACAGCAACAACAACAACAGCAATTGTCCTTGCAACAACAACTACCTTTGCAGCCCCAACAACAAAAACAGCTGCCTTTGTTACTGCAACAACAACAACAACAACAGCAGCAACAACAACAACAACAACAAGAGTTTATGTTTCAACATCCTTTTACGGCAAATGTGTCAGGACCCACCTGCTCCGGCAAGACTTATTTTGTAAAAACGTTGTTGCAACATTGTATGAGCAAGATTTCCCCCTCTCCGGAGAGAATCTTGTGGCTCTATAAGCGATGGCAACCCCTGTATGACATCATCAAAGCCACTGTGTATCCCTCAGTCGAATTCATACAGGGCATTCCATTAGATTTGGAGCAAGATTCGTTCATTCACCCCGGAACGAGGAATCTTGTGATTCTAGACGATCTCATGTCTACAGCGGCCAAAGATTCTAGAATCAACGAGTTGTTTACGGAGGGTAGTCATCACAGAAATTTGTCAGTCGTGGCTATCAATCAAAATCTGTACTATAACAAAGATCCCACCCAGAGACGAAATTGCCACTATCTGGTTCTGTTTAACAATCCTGTGGACAGACAGCAAGTCATGACTTTGGCTCGACAGATGTATCCCGAAAATCCTCAACACCTGCTGAGACATTTTAAAGAAGCCATTTCCAAGCCTTATGGATACCTACTGATTGACTTGAAGCCAACCACACCCGAACATCTGCGCCTGCGCACAAGCGTCTTGAATTCTATAAAATCGCAACCTTCAGATGCCATCTCTCATTCTCGCAACGACGCACCTAGCATTCAGACGCATTTAGAGCTAGATCAATCAACAACCTATCACTCTGCGCAGCATTCTTCAGCAGAAAAATTGCAATTCCCAGAAACAGCGCCTACCTATCCCAATCTAGACGAGATGCCTTCCTGTGACGATTGTGGTCTTGTGTTCGAAAGCATGCATGACCTCCAGAGACACGTAAAAAGATGGTGTCCCGAAAATGTTTCCCTTAAAAGAAAGGGAGACGATGTGGAAATAGAGGAGGGCCAACCACCTGCAGATGGATCCCATTCGAACCCATAGAGATGGAAGAAGATGAAGATAACCGCGAACATGAAGTTTTTAACGTTCTCATGGATAAAGCCAAAGAGAACAACGAGACGGAATGGGATCAAAAGTATGATAAATACATCAAAGAGGGTTTAACCCGGGAAGAGGCTAGAGCAAAAACCGAGGAAAAGTTGAAGACAAAAGACTTACAAACGTTCGCTAATAACTATGCCACCCTAATCCAATACATTCTGCAATTAAAACACGGTTCCATTCATGCCACTATCATGGACGATGTAGCCGAGTTCCTGTCTAAGGGTTACGGTGAACGCAAGTCCATCAGAATGGCTCTTAATAAAAATCGTCATCTCCTCGACGAAATGTGGGACGACGAAAGTGAGATGGAAACTGACGATCAGGACGACAGCGAAACAGAAGAGTACGAGAGTGAAGAATCCGAAGAAAATGCCTAATTAACTTTTGAGAGAAAAAAACAGTTTTAAATTACTCTGCTTTTTTTAAATATTCATTTATCAATATTATATTTTATAATGTTATATTGCAAGTTTTCTGTGTGAATAAATTAAATGATGCATACTACTATGTTTTATATGATTTATTTTCTTATGCATTTCTATAAAATTACTGTATCTTATCTAAACTTATATCAATATAATATAAAAATACATCAGATGTGTTGTTTTGTGTGACATAAAACCATTTATTTCTTGATCATGTGACTCAAGCAGTATATATCTGTTAGAGGATCACATGTATGACCCATTTCTCAGTCGTCAGTCAAGGAAGTAACATGTCTTGGGAGGATTATCTCAAGCAAATTTATTACGACCCTGTTAATGCTGGAAGTTTTTCGGGGCCAGACAAACTGTATCGATATGTACGCAAACAAGGAAAATATGTCCTGAGCAAATACAAGATCAGGAAATGGTTACAGAGACAAGAAGCGTACAGTCTACAGAGACCTATTCGAAGGCATTTCAAAAGAAATAAAGTCATCACCCTTGGCATTGATGATCAGTGGGATGCAGATCTAATGGACATGTCCAAATATCCCAAGCAAAACGATGGGGTTACTTTTGTCCTCGTTGTTATAGATATTTTCTCCAAGTTTCTGTGGATGCGCCCTCTAAAGGACAAAAAGGGTCAAAGCGTCACTTCAGCCTTTGCAGATATACTTCAAGAAGGTCGACGTCCGACACGAATCCGTACAGATAAAGGACAGGAATTCCGATCCCGAGCCTTTAATGCTCTATTGAATGATCAAAACATAGAGCATTTATACGCCCAGAACACTGAAGTCAAAGCCAATTATGCAGAGAGGGTGATTAAAACAATTAAATCTAAAATATATAGATTCATTACGTTCAAACAAAACCATCGCTATGTGGATCACCTTCAAGACTTTGCCATCAATTATAACGCAACATACCATAGAACCATAGGCATGCCTCCCAAAAATGTGACCAAGTCGAAAGAGACGAACTTATGGTGGAAAATGTATTGGCCAAAGAAGACTCCTATGACACCAAAGACCAAGAGAGTGAGGAGGCCTTTCAGGTTTAAGATAGGGGATCGTGTGCGGATTAGTCATCTACGAAACGTCTTTACTCGGGAATATGACGAAAAGTGGTCCGGGGAGATATTCGTCGTATCTGAGAGATATTTAAGAGGAGGATTGCCCATATACAGACTCAAAGACTATTTAAACGAAGAAATCAAAGGAACTTTTTATCAAAATGAATTGCAAAAAGTGGACGTTCGTGAAGATGACGTGTTTAAAGTAGAAAAGATCATAAAAACAAAAGGACGAGGAGACAATAAACAATACCTGGTAAAATGGTTACACTGGCCTTCCAAATTTAATTCGTGGATCAATGCCAATGATGTACAAACTTATAGCTGAATCTTTTCCAAACTGAATACCTAATTTCATCATCATAAAAGCAAGTTTGTGAATGAAATTATTTATGTATAATAAATGCATATGTCTATAAAAATATATACATGTATCTTGCTTCATCTCAACAATAAATGTGAGATTAAAATCAGTTTGCTTGTCAATATTTTCTTTGAATTGAGTTGTACATATTTTATTGGCTAAGAGTCAAAAGGATTCTTTAATCCTAGTCCTTCATTGGACTATTATTTGAAGGTTTTTTGTTACTTTTTTTTTTAAAAATAAAAGTATAAAAGAGTATATGTGCTCCCTAAAAGTAGACATGAGCTAGTCTGAAAATTGAAAATTTGTTCGTATGTGATAAATATACTCCCGTAAGATTTAAAGCCTCGTGTACCTTGGATAACTTTTTCACCTGTAAATGTTTCGGTTGACTGATGCATCATTTAAATATATCATTCAACACCGTCCCATTTTTAAACCTCCATTGTTCACAATTTCAATACACCATTAATCGATAGTACAACATAATTTAAGTTTTGTTTTTTTTACATGGAAAACCCCAATAGGGACCAACAAAAGACCCGTGTGATCCCTTTAAATCGATTTTAGGGGTCTCATCTGAACGAGATTGTCTCTTTTGTTTCCTTCAACAATGACTGTAATTTATTCCATGACGTTGCGGAATTTCCGATTCTTAATGAAACAGTCATTTTAATAATCTATTGATTAAAAATCTGTTTAATCCATTCTCTTTGTTATATTCTTTGATACTCTCTAATTGCATTGTTTTAATTAAGATAAATGACATCTTTTGTTATTGATTTTTTTCAATGATGGTTTGTTTAAAATCATTCATGAGTTAAGGGGGCGTGTTTGTTTCCATGTTTATTTATGACGTCATCGGCTCCTCAAAGGAGCCGTGAGGAGCCCATTATAAGGTATCTGCGCCAGAACTCTGGTTTTTACACTACTTATGGACACTTTTTTCACACAATCTGAATCTGTCAATAAGTTTTTCCTCCAATTATTGGTGTATTATGTAATACAATAAAGAATTATTATTATAGCACAAAAGGATTCTATCCATCTCTAATTAACTGTTCTCTTCTCTCTTTTCTCATAATTGACCCGTTCAATGACATCAAAATTTTCATCAATCATTTGTCTAAGTTCATCCTCCCTACCGCTAGGCTTGGAACTGAAGTTCTCACTTGACTTTTAGTGACGTGGATAAGAGAGGAATCAATTGAAAATGTTTGATTTTAAACATAAACGTAGTAGGCTTTATCTTAGGAGACACACCCGAAGATGCATCAAGTAACAAGGTTCGACGAACTTAGACTTCATAGTGTCTAGGTTATGTAGCTGAAAAGAGGGTGTTGCAGTTCTTTTGTTATTTTCCCTAAAGTTGTAGCAGT